TCAAATGCCAGAGTTTCTGAGCCAACATTTTGGTTGCTAAGCAAGAGCGTTGTTAAGTGAGTTTCGCCACATTTTACATCTTGGCCATGCCCACCCAGTCACATGGCTGCCAAGCCACTCCCACAAAGCAGGCTACACCTACAGAAGAGGTTCTAAAAAATTTTGAAACCCACCACTGACTCCGGGGGATGATAGAGGACAAGAAGGCCTGGAGCAATGTTGTCCATGGGGTTGCGATGAGTCAGACTTCGCAACTAACAACAACAACATTAGGTCTACTGAAGGTGTTTAATATAGATTTTTCAAAATAAGTTAATATATATATTTTTTCCTACAGAGAGGCTTGTGTTTTTAAATTAATATCTATGGATTCTTTATAATATTACATATTTTGCCAGGCTCACAGTATGTAATAAGTTTACTTTGCCTCAGTCAGTGATTTATTTTGCATGCCATTTTGTATTTCATTTTATTTAATGCTTTGCGGATGTTTGGTATTTTGAAATAGATGGTTATATTTTGCTATTCACAAACGCTGTCGCCATGAGAAAAAAATACGTTGCATGTTTACCATATGCTGCTGCTTTAGCTGCTGCCTTAGCTGCCAGAGCTGCTGCTGACTTGCCTCCTGTCCCGGCTCCTAATGTGCATAGAAACATAGTTAAGTTACAGGACAAAATCCATATCATGCAGAGCTCTTCTGCATCTGGGACTGCTGGCATCCCAGGAATTCCACCAATACCTGGGATGCCACCACCTGGGACAACGTCAACACTACCTGGGAAAACGCCACCAGGGCCAACGCCACCAGGGCCGACGCCACCAGGGCCGACGCCACCAGGGCCGACGCCACCAGGGATGACGCCACCAGGGCCGACGCCACCAGGGCCGACGCCACCAGGGCCGACGCCACCAGGGATGATGACGCCACCAGGGCCAACGCCACCAGGGCCGACGCCACCAGGGCCAATGCCACCTGGAACCCGCCCTAGGAAAGTAATCATGAAATTAGAATGGGAACTTGGTGGAAACTCAGTTCGATTGGGTTGGAAACTCAGCAGAAACTGAGTAGAACTTAGTGGGAACTCAGAGAAGATTCACCAAAGTCCTTGCTTCCCGCCAGCTATGCTTATTCAGAAAATACATGTGACTTCAATGCTGCTAATCATTAAGGGCAGACTTGGGAGAACTGCCTGCATGCTACCATCTAATGACCACATTAGAGCAAAAACAGTCTATATCAGATGGTGGTTCCCAAAGCACTAACCCAGGGGTCCCAACTTGGCAACTTTAAGACTTGGGGACTTCAACTCCCAAAATTCTCCAGCCAGCATAACTTGTGGGAGTTGAAGTCCACAAATCTTAAAGTTGCCAAGTTTGAAGACCTCTGCACTAACCTCTCCATGCTCATTCTGCAATCCCACCACATATAGGATTCCATTCATGTACATATTTCCTCAGGCAGGCAATGACACAAAGTTTGAAGGAGGTTGCACAGGCTGTGTCTGTTGGCTCATCACTCTGGTCCCTCAGATTCATAGGATGCACAGGCAGAGGTACACTTTTTATGGATGACCCTCAATATGAGAAATTCTCTTCCATGACAGTTCTGCTTAAAGTCTCTCTCCCTCCCTCCCTCCCTCTCTCTCTCTTTGCTTTTTCACTGATTCAAAAGATGTGTTCTATTCCTCAAGAATTTTATTGATCTCATTGCTGCCCTTCCATATACTGTATGTGTCAGTTTGATGTATGAGCCTATTTGATATAGTGGTTTAAACCAATCACTCTCTCCCTCTGTCCTGGGGAGGTGAATTGTGGAGGTTCCTAGATAAAAATCCACATAACATCCCCAGATCACAGAAGTATCACTGCGTATATAGCAACTACTTCCTGTGTAAGTAGACATAGGATATATCTGGCCATTCAATCAATCCCTGTTCTGCCTGGAAAGCCTAAATCTTGCAACTTGCACAGGTTAAGAAAGTCAACTTGATTTTCTAAATTTTATTTTGCATAATTTATGGTGAGAGGAAGGAAATTTCAAAGTATAATTTCTAGGTTTTGTTTTGGCTAGATAACTAGGAGAAGTGTCCCAGAAATACGTAATCAATTGAAACCTTTCCTGGTTTCAAACATACTCTTAAGGTACCAGGCATGCTGTATTAAATCTTACTGCTGTCAGAAAGCAGAAACTCAAAATCTCCTCCTATTTTCCCCCACCAAAATATCACGATTTTTTTCTGCTCTACACTGCGCTGTACAGGTTGATGTTTCTCAACTTTGTCATCTAAGATGTATGGACTTTCAACTTCCAGGATTGACATCAGAAAGGGTGGGAAAACATTGTGTACAACAACATTGTTGTTTTCAGTAATAGTTGTAACTCAGGGGTGGGTTCCGGCTGCTGCTACTGCCGGTTTGCTCAGGGACACGCTGCATGCACATGTGCAGTGTTAAAACAAGTTGGCGGAGCCTACAGCAGCGCCAAGAGAACTGGTTCGGGGAGGGTGGGTGGCAGGCCGAGTTCCTACCTATTTGGCCGAACCGGGCCGAACTGGTAGGAACCCACCTCTGTTGTAAGTTCATGCTGGATTTACCCACCTGCCCTCTAGTTTTTGAGAGGTCACTAAGATGGCACACTTACTAAGTGCAACTTTGCCCATTCCAGGAAAGTACTTTAATGGAGGGAAGGAAGGAGAGAAGGAAGGAGGGAAGGAAGGAGGGAACGTAGGAGAGAAGGAAGGGGGGAAGGAAGGAGAGAAGGAGAAAAGAAAGGAGGGAAGGAAGGAAGGAGGGAGGGAAGGAAGGAGGGAAGGAGGGAGGGAAGGAAGGGGAGTAGGAGAGAAGAAACGAGGGAAGGAAAGAGGGAGGAAGAAGTAGGACCGTTGTAAGATAAGATGGATCTATGGGATGATAAAAAAGCAATCTTC